ATCGACCAGTCGATTCCTACGTTGAGCGAAGGCCATGGTGGAGAAGGAGAACCAGAGGCTAGTCCCAGCTTGGTGTGAAGGCGGGCCTCTGAAGTCCTTACTAATCCTGTGCTCCAGAACCCACACCACGAACCCGATAAACAGAAAGAAGAGAAACGTCGTCACCCAAAGATCCCACGTCAATGGCTTCAAGAACGACCACGCATTCTTGCTCCCATCTGGCCTCACCGGAACCACCATGGACACTCCCGATTCCGTGTACGGCAGCGTGAAGTCAACGTAGTTTGACCGGTTGGCGATGATGGTGATATCTCCGACCACCGCGTCCAAGTTCTGCTCCCAGAGTCACATGCATATGAAACAAACATGCGCATATTTATGGTCGTCAGTCTCACCGTACATCACAAAAGATTATCGAGACCAATGGATGAGTTCGCTAACAACTTACTCCTAAAAAGACCTGATTAACCAGGTCGTTGTAACTCCCGTTGCTTTCACCGTTAGGTTTGGCGAAAGGCACGTACTCAAAGGGAAGCGCATACGGCAGCGTTTTGACGACGGCTTCGAAAACATCCATGCAGTAGCCGGTCACGGTCGTCTCGTTGGTCTCGGGATCGGTACTCACGGAGACGAACTCCCTGAAGCCGGGTTTCACGGGGACTCCGATCCTGAGCTTCTTCCCGCTCATCGGGATCTCGAACCCTTTAGGAACCGCACCCGGATCCCCCGGCCATATCACCGTCCCCAGCTGGCTCGCCACCTTCGACGAGCTCCTCGTCGTCAGCTCGCCAGCTGGTGGTGGTGTCCAGTACCCAACAACTCTATCTGCGTTCCCATTCACGTTCACAACCTCGTAAGCCGACGCTCTCAGCTGCCCGTCGGCCTCCAACGCAAACCCACCGAAGAGACCTCGGAAGCTCGTTCCCAAGAGCGCGCTAGCCAGATTCTGGCCGTTTCTCGACACCCCGACCATATACTTCTTCGTCTTATCGCTTTCGAAACTGAAATAGGTTGCGGCCCCAGCCTTCTCGACCGCCATTGCCAATGCCCACGTGGCATCGTACGCCCGCAAACCGTAGCTGTTGAGGTTGGCATCGAGGATCTCCGGATGGTCTCGCTGGAACTTCCTCCTCCAACGTGTCGTGAAGTTTAGAACCGCCTGTGTTTGTGGCACGTGCGGTTTGACTCCCAACACGCCTTGCATGGAGCGGAGAACTGAAGGGTGAAAGGAAGGCAGGAAGACGGTGAGCCCATCGGTTATGATCCACACGTAACCTGCTGACATCATCCCGACCTCTTTGGCCTTGACAAATAGCCTGCATGCATGCATGAATTAGAATTAGGGTGCGTATACCGATAGAGTAAAATTAATGTGATCAATGTTTTTGTCGGAATTATTAATTACCTGGGGCCGAGATCGGGAGACACGTGGACTATGAAGACGCGAGTCTGCATGGTCATGAGCTTGTAGAGCTCCTCTCCGATTTGGTCGTCGGTGGCGGACGGCGAAATGGCGCTGCGGTAAGGGACGCGGGCGTCGACGGCTTGGAGGGAGTCGACTAAGGAAGGGATGATGCCTTGGCCGAAGGCGTCGTCGACGTAGATTGGGACGGCCTGCCGCCAGCCGAAGGCCTTGAATATGGCGGCGACGGCGTGGACTTGGGTGGAGTCGTTTTGTACGGCGCGGAAGAAGTACGGGCTGCCGATGGAAGCGAGGGTTGGGCTTGTTGCGGAGAAGGAGACGATGGGGACGTGGGCTTTTTCTCCCAGCGGGATGAGGAAGTTGGCCTGCATCGATGTGTCTGGGCCGAGGATAGCTTGGACCTGCACGTTCTTTATCAAATCCAGGGCTGCCACGTGTGCGTTTGCAGGAGGACGTCAGTGGATGAGAGGGTAGTACACGAGAGGAAAATATACATATGGCCGGTTTAAGAAAAAAGTCAAAATACGAATAATAAGAAATAGTTAATATATATTATTCATCAAATAGATTCCAACTATCTATACAATTCAAGGTAGGTATTGATAAGAAAAGAAATCAATGTTGGTGGCAGTGTTGTTTTATTATTAATATTATTATTCTTCTAGATTTAATAGTGTTGTGCAGATCGAATCGAATTAGTTGGTCCGACTTGAAAATCTGACAATCATTCATCTATACGGTTTGACTTGGTCATAACGTGTGATTTGTTTTATGCTGCCAAATATAACTTACCTTTTTATTTAGAAACGATATACTTGGTTATACAAAAAAGTTTTGTATGCACTCAAGTTCCAACTCAAAACTACTATATGTCGTTGCACATAAAAAAAAATTATGAAAAGTTGTTATGTGCCTACCTAGTTGAGTTTTCAGTCCCGACCAATTTATTTATTACGGTGATAATGATGCTGCAGACTCACTAGTGAAAAAAATTATTGACCATTAGTTTTAACGATCAACATAGATTTCGGGCTAAATCTGTCAATTAATTTGAAAAGTCGGTCACAAATGTTTTATTGGAAATTTTGGATCAAAACTAACACTTACGCCAAACTTCGGGCCAAACTAGGGTATTAATCCTTTATTTTATGATGCCATATAACTTACCTTGTTATTTATAAACGATATACTTAGTCATACAAAGTTTTGTCTAGTAGATGATATAAACTTGTCATCCTTAAGCTATAGTAAAGTATATCGCATGCACCCGAATTCCAACTCGAAATTACTATATATCGTGGCCCCGAAATTCAAATAGCACATAAAAATATATCATGAAAAGTTATTTTGTACGTACCCAGTTAAGTTTTCGGTCCCGAACAATTTATTTATTGCGGTTTAGCATTTATAGACTAGTATACTATAGCTAGTAGAAATGCTATTTATTCATAGATAGGAAAGATACCTTACCTTAAGCCTAGGTTGGCATATGCATTGACTTCATCACTGCTTATTTGGCTTAAATTCAGCAGTAGTTTTTGGCATACATGAGACAAAGTCGTTGTTTGCTGCTAGCCAGTAGCCACTACTACTATGTACTTACGTACGAAGCTGTTGTTGTTTGTGGAATTTTCTTTTTTGTGTTATTATGGTACTCTACTCGTCCGTCGCTATTATCTCTTTAAAAGAACAAGTTACAAGTTTACTGTTTCTTAGAGTCACATCAAAACACTGTCACTTGGTTTGCTTTTTTGCCTCTTGTTCTCCTTTCTGATTGGCCCTTCTTCTGAGTACTGACATCCATAGGTGGCTCTCTTTTGTAATTAACCATTAACCAAGGTTTTACTGAGGACGAAAAATGCACTGATGTTTCCTTTCTTTGCCAGATTTTAGCTGAGTCTTCGTTTGTAATCATTGCTTTCCTCTCTCTGGTCTCTATGCTTTTTGCCTGGGTTGCTTCGCCAGCGACTTCTCTTCTCTCTGCAACTCATCGGTTTTCGGAACTCCTCACCTTTCCCCTGGAAATGACAGGACTGCCGCTTCCTTATCTGTTCCTTTCCCCACAAAAGTCTTGTTTTGCTTTGCTACCTTTCATTTATGCTCCTCACAGACTTTCCCTCTTCTATCTTGCTTTCTTCTATTGCTCTTCCATGGTGACCCATAAATTGCTTCTTGACCTCAGCGACTCCGATGGCCCTCAGACTCTTCTGAAGCTGCGCCTCCTTAATGCGTGGGGGTCTTATGGTCTGAAGAATCCTAAATTAATCTTCAACTACTGCACTCTTTGGAACGATGAGGAGGTTAGCGCTGCTTTTCTGTTTTTTTTTTTTGCCATGCAATTTTGCGCCTCCCTTTTGTTTGCAGCCCTCTGATGTTCGTGTATTTCCTGCCCAGGGTACTTTGATTCAGGGCACAGCTCCGTCGGAACTCACGCGCCATTTTGCTCCGCTTCTGCAGTTGGGTAGCGTTTACTTCGTTAGCAATTTCCGCGTCAAGCCACCGTCCCCTTCGTATCGTTCTTGCTCTCATAAGTTGACCATCGTCCTCTCTGCCGCTACACAGTTCGAAGACGTGACCCGTTCGTCGCCTTCATTCTGGCCGGATGCGTTTGAATTTACCCCGTTCAGTTCGCTTCATTCCCGCATACGTTCATCGGTTTATCTAACAGGTCTTATTCTGTGTCCTTTACGTCTCTTGCTGTTCGTTTTATAGTGTACTGAATAACATCCTTTGCGTTCTTCTCTTGCTTGCGGCTCTGTCAGATGTCGTTGGCGCTGTTGTTAGCATCACAGGCGTTTCTAGCACCGTCACTTCATTCGGTACCACTGTGCGTAGTGATTTGGTGCTTCAGAATGAAAAGTATGTTACACATGCACACCACTTCTTTATCGACTATAATACACCTGTTACTAACTTTCGGTGTTTCGTTGCCCAGTCACATGTTTCTTGATATCAGCCTGTGGAGTGAGATAGCTCGGAATCTCAATGGTCAGGAACTGGCTGTCCTTGGTCGTTCTGGGCCAGTTATGCTAGCTGTTTCCTCACTTCGGGTCACTGGCGCTACGAAAGGTCTCCATATACCTTACCGCCGCAGGATTCTCCCTTTCATTTCCCTTCCTCTTTTCCTCATTAACTTTACCCCTTTTGTAGGAGGTTACTCTCTTACCAGTACTCCAGGCACACGTTGTGTTCTCAACCCTGTTTCTGAAATGGCTCACCTGGTCCAATCTGTGTATGCCTCTTCTTATCCTTATCATATTTTTTTTCCCTCAGCATCGTCAGTTGTCTTTTTGTTCCTGCTAATTTGTTGCGTTCCTTGCTTTTGCTTTCGCTAGGTTCTTTGCCAGCACTAATACATGTCAATATTACCCTCCGAGGTTTGCAACTCCTAATGAGGCAGCGGCTTTTGAAGCTGAATGTACGAAGACTGTAGCACAGCTCCTTGCCTTGTGTTTTCCACCTGCTGCCGATGTATGTTCCTTCCCCTTTTGCTCTCCTGCTTACCTGCTTCTGTTCCTTTCACTTCATTTGTTTGTCCGTCTAATCGTTTCTTCCGTTTCCTTTTGTGTAGTCTACGCGTTACCATTGCTCTGGTCGGATCGTCTCGGTTGATTCTTCTATGCAGTGGTATTACTTGGGTTGTGCGCTTTGTTCCAAAGCAGCCATAGATTATGATGGTGTTGACAAATGGTGTGATGACCACCGTCGATTGGTGCCTCAACAAACACAGAACTTGTAATTCCTTTCTTCATTCTTGCCCCCATACCTTTTGCCTTTTCTCGTGTCCTTACATGCTCCTGTACGTGTTTTGTGCAGTTACAAGCTCCGGGTAACAGTTGATGACAACACTGGATCAGCAGCTTTTGTTCTGCTGGGTAGGGCCGCTGACCTTCTTGTGGGCTTGACTGCTAACGATCTCTCTACCAGGTTTCCTTACCAGCGCAATGTTTTGCCACAAGAACTCCTGGCTCTTGAAGGGCGAGACTTTACTTTTGACGTCCAGCTTCCAAAACCGGAATATGGGTCTCGTGGCCCCCCAGAGTTCACGGTCCTTGCTGTCACTGAACAAGAACAACCAAATTCCTGCTCACCAGCTCTTGGTCGCCGGGCAAGAAATGCTATGTCCCATACACCACCTCCTAACAGGTATTTAAATGTCCTGACTTTTGTGGTACGTTTTCCTTTTGTTCATTACTAATCGCTGCTTTCCGTTGCAGTCCTCACAAGATGCCTCTTGCTTCTCCATATGTTGTTCCAACAATGCCGAACGCTTCGGTAGACCATGGTCCTTCTGTTGCTTCACCGAGGTTATGCTTCCATTTTACATGCCCTCTTTTCCCTGATTGTTCTTTGTCTTGAACTCGGGTTTCTTCTTAAATTTGCAGTGGGAGTTCTCAGCTTGCATTTTCTACTCCTCCACGTCGCCCCTATAGCAGGTTGTTTCTAAAATTCACTTTGCTTTACAAAATTGACAGCGCTCCTTTGGACGCTGTCGTACTCTTCCCAATGTGTTGACATTTCTTTCCCATGCGTTGTTTACCATCAATTTCCAGTAGCCGCATCGCTGCTGTATCTTCGCCCTCATCTGCTGCATTAGGAAGGTTGTCTGTTTGTTGTCTGCTTTGCTAGCTTAGTTCTGCTTATACACGTTCTTAAGTCGTTTCCTGACATGTTTCTTTTAAACATCAGTTCCGTACCTTCTTCTCCCGAACTTAGTCGTACTGAGATTGTTTCCTATGCGCGGTCAGTTTCTTGCCTTTTCCTGTATTACCTCAATCGTTCGACTTTACGCCTGCTGATATTTGTCACTGTCTCTTGCACACCCGATTTTACTGCTTCGTAGGCCTAGAAGTGAGGAAGTGCCCCCAGAAACTGCACCACAGCGAACCCCACAGTACTTTCCCTACTGTTAACTTACTTACTAGCTTTTATTGTCTCTTCTTTCCTTGCTGAGCAGCTCTGTATCAGGGAACTTGCTGCGGACACTACAGATGCTAATGTGCAGAACAAGAACATCAGTTCAAAGAAAGCGAAGCCGAAGAAACCATCTGCTAAGAAGAAGTCTCTCTGCCCTTTATTACTTGCTATGTTTCTTGTACCAAATTTACCATATCCTACATTAGGTCTTCAGTTCCTATTTACCTTGCTTCTGCTTGCGTACTGGCAATTTACTTGGTTGTTGTGCAATCTCTTAAAAAAATGTGCCCTGCTCCCTACCCATTTCCCAGTGTTCTTTCGTTTTACCACTTACTTGGTTGTTAACTGTGCATACGCCACTATTGCCTCTTGGAATCCTTGTGTTTATCATAGTATCCTGCAGTGTACTTCGATTTACTGGCCTTACCTTCTACAACTTTGTTTAACTTTTGCAGGAAAACTGGTGCTGCAGGTGCTGCGCGTCGTCCTACAGTTACTCTTGAAGAAACCGATGTTCCGATAGCGTCCCTTCAGATCCCTGTTGGACATCCTTTGCCAACCGAATCGGCGAATCCTGTCTCTGGAAATCTTAATGCCCTCGGTGTCAATTTGCAGACAACAACAATTCAGCCTTTGTCACAGTATGTGTCGTCCTAATTATCTTTCTGCCAGTGTTGTCTGCTCCCTAAGATTCCAGTTTGCATGATTTTTGTGCCCTTTTAAAACTGATCAAAGATGGTTTCCAGCCTGCACAAAATACTTATTTTTGACGGGAAAGAACTGTAAACAATGCTTTTACATTTACCTTGGTCTTGTGCTTTTATACATGGTTCTATGTCGTTAACATAAAGTACAATAGCCGATGGATGGCCTTTTGTACCCCTTTCTTCGACCTTCGCTAACTTACACGTGTTTACAGTTTGCAGACGCACAATGTTACCTCTCAGTGCCATACTAATTATCTACGAATGTGTTACCTTTTTTTAAATACAGAACAAAATAAACAAATAGTTGTAGCTTTTGCTTACTTGGTCAGCTTCAAATCAATTGTTTTCCCACAGATTGAAGTAATAATCGTCTTTACTTTATGGAGATCCCTTGTGCAGTTTGTTCTTTGTTGTTAGCCATTGTCTTATTCTTGATTTACAAGTTGCTGCCGCATTGCATAGGAATGTGCATGTTTTCCCATATAGATGTGTTGTTAAAGACCTACTTCCTCTGTTTCCTTTTCTAGGCAACCTATGTCTATAAATCCTGCACCTGTACGGCGCCGTCGCTTGGTTGTTTATTCTGATGAAGACGAACCTGTTGTCCCTTTGGAACTGCAAGACTTGGATGTTGAACTTCCACTGCAAGAACAGCCTGTTGGAAACTCTTCGACTTATCCTGTTCCCACTGTTGACGTTCCTTTGCCTTCTCCTCTTCTTGCTGTCCAAGAAGTTCCGCTACTTTCAGTGGGGAAAACTAATTCTGGGAGGGCAAAGCGAATCAGAACACCGTCTACAAAGGCCATTGAAGCATCTGTGGATGCTTCTAAGAGAAAGCCAAGAACTCCAAAATCGTCTGCTAAGGAACCTGCTAAGAAGCAACTGTTTGCTGATTAACCGTGATTCGCACCATGCGCGTGCTAATGTACCATGTTTGTCCAGTACTGTCCCTCCCTTCCTTTTGTAGAACTGTTTAAGGGGAACACTATTTAGCGAGTAGTGCATTCTGTACTCTTGCCTTTTTGTCTGAATGTTGCAACCTTTGGCACACCTGTGGTGTTCCATTACTGGCACCACTGTTATCAATCTGCTCTGCTATGACATTTGACTTGTATTGGTTACCTCTTGGTACAGATTACCCCTTGCGTACCTGCTTTCTAACCAGGTCTATGTCGTTAATATAAAACACCATTTGGGCATGGACTCCTTTAAGTGGCATAGTATTGCGCCACTCTGCAACTGATCTTTATTTTGTGCTAAGGATCTGTTGTACTTTGTATCTTCATTTGTTGCGCGAAAATTCGCCGTTTAGGCCGCATTCGCATCGCGCCTGTGTCCTCTTCGTTAGTCACTTGTTTTGCTCTGTATTCGCAGGTGGCCATTGCCTGTTGTAAATGGCCGCTTTGAGGACCAAATTGTGCACACATTTATTCGGTTGCAGGGTATTTAGGTGGTGTCCTACCAGCCACACAGTAACTAGATATTTTGATTGTCCACTAATACCATGCCTTTGTTTATTAGCTTCCATAGACCCACATTATAAACTTATTTCTCTTCTATTAATTGCCATCATGCATTTATTATTCTGACTAGGCTGTTCACTAATGATGGCTTTATTACTTCTCACTTCTCTAGACTAGCCTGCTATGGTGCATGTTGTATTATTATACATTTTCTTAAGAAGGATATTTTTCCCTGGAAACATCGTTTACCTGTAGACTGTCTTCTTCCATAACTGCTTCCCCATTACTGCTCCTTTTTGCTCATTTTGTCTTTGCTGTTGGTCATTGAATGCAATTCTCTGCTGCATCTGCTATACCATTACCTGGTATCTGCCTTCCTCTGCAATTCTGCCAGTTTTGTTATTCCACTGTACCCGTTTAGAAGGCGTGGCATGGTTAGTTTGGTCAATTTATTACTTTTATCTTGCTACGTTTACCATTGTTTCCTGTACCATGCTACGCTTGTGCCATAGTTTGCAGGTCTTTGTTTTTTTTGTAACGTCAGTGTGTGATCTCAGGCCACTCCCAGACAGGCTGCACTCCTGTTCCCCGGTCGTTCTGCGAATAGGAAGCGTCGTCATATTGGTCTTTCCACTGAATTTGTGCCTACCACGCCTCCTTCGAGAAGTTCTGTGAGGCGTCGTGCGTGCAACTTTGATAGACGGGGACGCTTGCACCCACTGCTTGATTCAGAAGGTGAACTTGACTCATCCGAACTGGACTTAAGAACTCCTGAAGACTTAACAGCCAGTTCGCAGACTCAGCCTCCTGTTGCGTTGGATGGTGATTGTTCGTTGCCTGATGTGACTCTACCACCTTCACAACAATCAGACTTCAGTCGAATTATCGATCATGGTTTCCCTGACTGTGAATGCCAATACTGTGGTGCACGGTTCTGGTATGAAGAGCGGCTTAACAGGCATGCATCTCTTGCTCCTGTTTTCACGCTTTGTTGTCAAAAGGGACGAGTACGCCTCCCATTCCTACAGGAAACTCCTCAGTACCTTGAAGACCTCTTGGGTGTTAATGCCGGTCCTATGGCAGCGCACTTCAGGGAACATATACGCTCCTATAATGCTGCTTTTTCTTTCACATCTTTTGGAGCACGCCTTGATCCGAGAGTTACACGTTCACGAGGACCTTATTCATTTGTGATATGCGGAGAAAATTATCATCGAATGGGATCTTTGCTTCCTGCTGCAGGCCAGAGACCTAAATATTCTCAGCTATACGTCTTTGACCCGCAGACCGAACTAGCAGATCGACTCTCCAATTTCTCTTCTGCTGAAAGGTCCCTGCGTCCTGATATTGTTTCTGGTTTAATGAAGCTGTTTGACGTGACAAATGAATTAGTTAAGTCTTTTAGACGCATTCAATCTGAATTGAATGATCCAGCATCAATCAATTTAAGACTGCGTATTGTTGGTGCACGGGACACAACATCTCGACAATATGAACTTCCAACTGGTTCAGAATTGGCTGGACTCATTCCTGGTGATTTCTTGCCTGATAAGGAAGAACGAGACATCATTATTGATCATCGGTCAGAGGGCCTGAAGAGGATCACAAGTGTACACCCGAAGTTTGATGCTTTGCATTTTCCAGTCCTTTTCCCATACGGAGAAGATGGATTCCATGTAACCATACCGTATGATCCTGTTCATACTCCCAAAACATTGAAAAGGAAACATGTGACTCAGAGAGAGTACTATGCTTACCGGCTTCAGCACAGAGACGACGAAGGTCAGACATTGATGCGAGGTGGGAAGGCACTTCAACATTACGTGGTTGATGCATATTCCACAATTGAACAAAACCGACTCTATTATTTGCGATCGCATCAAGAAAACCTCCGTTCTGAACTATACTATGGCCTTACAGATGCTTTCAACAGAGGTGATGTTACAGGAGATGCTGTTGGCCATGTTGTTCTGCCATCATCGCATACTGGAAGTCCTAGGTATATGAAGCAACTATACTTAGATGCAATGGCTGTTGTCCACCATCATGGCAGCCCCGACCTATTCATAACCTTTACGTGCAACTCCCAGTGGCCAGAAATAACAGAATCTTTCCGCACTGTCTGTGGTGCACGCAGCGAACTAAAACCAGAGATTGTTGCTAGGGTCTTTCGCATGAAACTGAATGCACTGGAAGATGAATTAACACGAGGCCATTTTTTTGGTCAAACAGTGGCAGGTTTGTTCGGTTGCCTTCTGTCTTACTTCCTTTTACAATTGCCTGTTATCAATTCTCCTTTTCCTGTTACTCTAAACTTCCTCACTTACCTCATGTTTTGTGCTCTAGCATAAATGACACATTTCGTTGCCTTATAATTCCAGGTATCAAAACCGTCGAGTTTCAGAAACGGGGTTTGCCCCATGTTCATATACTTTTATGGTTGGATGCAAAGAATAAGCTACGACAAGCTTCTGATATTGATGCAACTGTTAGTGCTGAACTGCCAGATCCATTACTAGATCCAATTGGGTATGATGCTGTGACAAAGTTTATGCTGCATGGTCCGTGTGGTCAAGATAATCCGACCAATGTTTGCATGAAAGAAGGATCGTGTTCAAAGTATTTTCCAAAACCGTTTAATTCAGAAACTACAACGGACCAGTTTGGCTATACAGTCTATCGCCGTCGCGATACAGGTATAACAGCAGTGAAAGGTACAGCTATACTAGACAACCGGTTTATCGTTCCATATAATCGGAATTTACTTGTGCTGTTTCAAGCTCATATCAATGTCGAGGTCTGTCATCAAGGCCGCTTGATTAAATATTTGTTTAAGTACATTACAAAAGGGCCTGATAGATCCATGGTTCTTGCTGAAACTGCTGGCTTGTCTGTGTCTGATTCTGCTACCCCAAACCATATCCCTCCATTGGACGAAATTAAACAGTTTCTTGATTGTAGAAGTCTGTCTTCATATGAGGCAGCGTGGCGGATCTTTGAATTCCCTGTTCATGAACGAACACCGCCGGTTCAGCGGTTGTGCGTTCATCTTGAAGGGAGACATTATGTTCCTTATAGGAAGAAACAACGGCTGTCTCGAATACTTGCCCGCGATTCTGTTTCAGAGACAACATTGACACAATGGTTTTACCTTAACCAACGAGATCCAACTGCAAGGGATCTACTTTATGCCGAGACTCCGAATCGTTATATATGGAATGTGAAAACAAAAAAATGGGCTCCGCGGAAAAGAGGGTTCTCAATTGGAAGAATTGTCTATATCCATCCAGGTTGTGGTGATACATTTTATCTCAGACAACTTCTTACCAAAGTTCGTGGGTCAGTTAGTTATGCAGATCTTCGGACAGTCCATGGATTCCCATGTAGAACATATCAAGATGCGTGCCAGCGCCTTGGTCTTTTGTCTAACGATGATGAATGGTTACTTGTGATTAAAGAAGTCAGCCAATGGGGCATGTGCCGCTTGTTACGATACCTCTTTGTGTCCATGCTGATGTTCTGTGAACTATCAAACCCACTGCAGCTTTTCAATCAGACATGGGAATTGCTTTGCGAAGACATCACATATAGGTGCCAACGAGACGTTTGCTTCAACAACAACCTCATACCAACTGAATTGCCCAAAAATAAATTGTTGTGGGAATTGCAGCACATGTTACATGCTTATTCAGCCACGTTATCTCATTTTAACCTTCCCTTGCCAACAGATGATCACCCACAAACTGATCCCTTGCTTCAGTTTGGAACTGATTCACATCCTGGTACTTTAGCTGCTGTGGATTCCCCACCTCCTGTAGTTGGTGATCTTAACAGAAAGCAACTTGAAGCTTTTCATTGTGTAATGGAATCTGTTATGTCTCCAACAGAAGACTCGCCTACATTCTACTTTCTGTATGGTCATGGAGGAACAGGCAAGACTTTTCTCTACAAAACTATTCTTGCGCAACTTAAAGAAGCTGGAAAAATAGTTTTGGTAGTTGCTTCTTCAGGAATTGCAGCAACATTACTTCCTGATGCAAGTACAGCTCACTCTCGGTTTAAAATACCACTGGAAATCGATCATGGTTCTTCATGTAATATCAAGAAAGGTACGCCATTGGCTCAATTGATCATTAATGCATCGCTTATAATATGGGATGAAGCCCCAATGGTTCACAGATTGTCTTTTGAGGCAGTAAACAGAGCTTTTTGTGATATTATGGATGTTCCGTTTGGTGGTGCACACTATAAACCGTTTGGTGGCAAAGTTGTTCTTCTTGGAGGCGATTTTCGTCAAACGCTTCCAATAGTAGCTGATGCTGGCAGAGAAGAGAGTATTGATTCATCTCTGACCTGTTCCTTTTTGTGGCAACATTGCACTGTGTTGCACTTAACTGAAAATATGCGCGTGGTTGCTTCCCGGGAGAGTCAAAGGTCAACTTTTGGTGGCATGCCCTTTACCGAATGGACTCTTGCTGTGGGAAATGGGAATGTGCCAGGAAAATCATTTCCTTCTAACCAATCTACTGATTGGATAGAGATTCCGGAATCATTACTGCTTCCTTCTTCAGGAAATCCCATCCATACGATTACGTCTACAGTCTATCCTGACTTTGCTCAACGGTTCCATAATGTATCGTACCTCACTGAAAGATCCATTATCACACCGACCAATGCAAATGTCACAGAGATCAATTCTCATATGTTAGCTCTGATTCCGGGAATGCCACGCACATATTTTAGTGGTGACAGTCTTCATACAGATGCAAGCGATCCAGACCGACTCGAAGCTGAATATCCCACTGAATTCCTTAATTCCTTGTCCTTCAATGGCTGCCCTGAACATCAGATTGATCTCAAGGTATTTGCTCCAATTATGCTGTTGAGGAATCTAAACCCATCCATTGGTCTTTGTAATGGTACACGCTTAATGGTGCTCTATTTGGGCCATTATGTGATAAAAGGAATGATAATGGGGGGTACATTCAATGGTAAGACTGTGGCAATTCCAAGAATTGTCCTTAGTGTCAATGATTATCGTTGGCCATTTGTTCTTAAGCGCCGGCAGTTTCCAGTACGATTGTGCTACGCCATGACAATCAACAAAAGCCAGGGCCAGACATTGCAAAATGTTGGTGTGTATCTGCCGAAGCCAGTGTTCAGCCATGGCCAACTTTATGTCGCTGTTTCTAGAGTTAGAACACCAGATGGACTTAGGTTCCTTATTATGAATGAAGATGGCGTGCCTTCCAACTGTACCCGAAATATTGTTTACCAGGAAGCATTCGTTGACCTTCAGACCCCATCTTCCTAACTAGAGGTATTCCTTTCAATCTGGTACATTGAATCTTTTGTAGATTGCTTGCTCAGCATCCTCCTGGAACTGAAATGTATCTTCTAACGTTCATATTCGTTGCTGCCTTTATCTTTCACAGGTCTGGTGCGGATCTCTCGAACCAAAGAATCCCATGTTGCTGTTCGTTTTTGGGTTGTGGCCTCTATCTTATAAAGGCAAAACAAGTGTTTCGTTTCCAGGGATTCAAATTACCAGTTCGCAGAGGGTTTGTCGGATGGGTACTTTAGGCAATCCACGTTTAAATAAACCTGTTGCGTTTCACCTCCAACACATTCTGCCGGTGGACCGGGACAGTTTTTAATATAGTCGGGCCGGCCTGTTGCCCCCTGAAGTATCCAGCCCAAACTTTTTCCCCTTGACGTATCCGGCCCAAACTCTTCTCCCTTGACGTAGTTGGCCCAAGGACTGCTGGTTAAATGTTTCCATCGGAATCTGACGGAAACCATATTCAGCTGCCGCGATGCTATCTTTTAGCTGGAAAGATGCCCTTATTTCCTATGTGGCTCATGCAGTAATCGGGCCAGAGTTGTTTGCAAAACCCATGGCAAATGACTACACACAGCCGGGCTAATACATTTCAAATGCATCTAACTAAATTGGCCCTGTGGGGGGTTTTCCCTTTTGTTTGGGCGGCTACCTAAATGGTCTGCCAGCGCGTTCCAACTCTAAACTCTAGAATACACTAATTTACAAGGAATTTACTAAAGAGCAAGGAATGTGACAGTTAACAAAGAACACAATTATATGATCCTCAAAATATGGTCACATGAAGGACCACCGCAAAAGGATAATACCCTTTCAAAAAAATGTGCCCCACATATTCACTACGCGGTTAGATAATTCGAAACTAAAGTGAGGTCGACCATTACTAACATTAATCCGATTAGCCTAATACTACCCTACGCTACTTAGTCTAAAATCGGGAACAACTTAACCAAAAAGACATTAAGACGATTCTCCACGTTGTTCCAAGGTCCGAATGTCAGCAAAGCACTATATGGGCCCTCACCAATCCTGTTGAGTAGTGGAATGTACTCCATATCTTCCATCTCATCAGGACCAACAGCAGCAGACATGACTCGCCGTAAGTAAGTTGATGGACATACGAGCTCAATACCGGTGGTAAAATCTTCAATTGTCACGTGCAACATGTATATGCCGGAGTCGGCATTCCAAGATCTCCTCACTTCTTTGACCCACCCATTCAAAATGTATGACTTGCCCTGGTACAATACAAAACAAAAGGAATTCAAAACAAGACCCCATTAGATGCAAATTCTTTAGAGGAAATATAGCTTCCGGCTAGATAAAATATATGTTATCTGATTCACCTGATTAGCAACATCCAATTGCATAGGGATAAGTTCATCCGTTTCTATATGGTCCCAAATTCGTACGGCAACTTCATATCGCAAATTTGAAACGAAGTCTCCCATGGAAAAGAACCTATAATTTAAATTAGTAGCAATATTAGCAACTCTATCAACAAATGTTAGAGCTATACAACTAATCAACTAAATATGTAAACCCGAATGTGCACAAACAATAGCAACACAATACATGAATGTGTCACTACAAGCATACAAAGTTTCCTTGGAGTATCGAACTAAAAAAAAACAAACTATTCTGAATGATAACATTGTATTAGCTCTGGAAAAACCTAATTTGAAGGCCGGCAAACGAATGTAGTTGATGAGCGGTCTGGAAAAAGTGGCATAAATTCTTGATGAGAGGAAAGGGAAGTTTTTGCCGAGGTAGGGTTTTAGAGATTACCTTGTAGAGATGCTGAGGTAGGACTAACGTCGATCAGGCAGAGAGAAGGCCTGGAAAATGATTGCATGCACTGGAATGGGTTCACAGTTGCTTTGGTGGCCGGAGAGTGAGCAGAGCAGAAAAAAGCGTCAGGGAAAAAGGGAGGTGAAACGTCCTAGGATGGGTTTTAATGCGGTCAGATTTGAACACTTACCTCCTGGAAATGTAGAGATGGTACTAATATCGGTCAGTCAGGCAGCCCTGGATCATGAGTGCATGCAATAGCTTGGATGGCCTGATTTCCTTCTCGGCGGCGAATAAACAGTACCGTCGTGCTTCGGTGGCGTTTTTGAAGTCCACGCGAGTGGTGACTGGACGCTAGGTTGTTCGCCGAGGGAGAATAAGCGAACCGTATGGAATATGTCGGGGTTTGCGGCGGGAGCGGGAATCAGGAGAAGCAGAAGATGGCGGGTTGGCGATGTGGATGGTCAGGTTTCTGTGGAGGGCCTGGAGGGTAGGTGAGAGCGATGGAGGAGGGAAAGGAAGAAGGGAGTTAAACCGTCTTCGGGTGGGTGGGAGGTTTTTATTGTTTAGCTTTATTTTAGTTTTTATATTTGCTTGATCGAAACGTGGACATGACTGTCCATTTCGTTTGAATTTTTTTGCCTTCAACCAAACACAACTCAATTGGAAAGCAAATTTTTCGTTTGGTTTTTTTTAAACCAATAAGCAACTTAATGCCTTTGCCTGGGTTAAAACTGAAAAAACAATAGAACCCATGAATAATACATTATTCATCCGCAAGGTTGTTCTTTTGAAAAAAACAAAAAAACCCCTTTTGCCACGCATACCAACCAATAATTTTTGCTGCCTATACAGATATGTGCTTGTCAAGTCATAATAAATAAATGAACACCTAACTCTTCTTTTTTATTCAATGATACGAGTGATTAATTGCCTAACAAATTCGCTACTTCAAAATGGTATTCATTTATTTAAAAAAGCAGCCAACCCTAGCGATGCATTGTTAATTGATTCATGTTTATGAGGAAATGACAACCTAATTTCAACTCCTCCTCACAACCAACAACCCGCTACTAAAAGGGATCGCCTTAAGCAACATAGTCTTGCGACTCATTTGGTAGTACATTAAATCAATTTGAAGGTCTTACAACATCATACTAATTTCATCTGTGTATTTCACTTGCATGAATACTCACCATTCAAGCACAAGTGCACATATTGATCGCTCGAGTTCCAAAAAACCTTTACTCTGAGAAAAACGTCATTGGGATGGATGTCTTGCACTATCCCGATTAAATCTTCCCGTGTGTTAAATGTACATTACCGAAATAGAATTCCCTGTTATTATAGTTTAATTGATCAATAAAAAACAAATGCTCAATGAAGTGGCAGAAATGTGCCACACCCCATTCCACTCTCCCAAACTTTTATTGCCGCCAGTGTAATGGGAACAGTTCAGTTTAGGATATGTGGTTTTTTCCTGTACACTTTTCTAAGGTAGATAGCTACATATATGGACCCATTCTACATAACCAAGTGAAACAACTATTTCGCAAGGGCCTGTTAGACATGACAGCCCATTTATAGCCCACAACAAGAACTCATACGTCACTGTCGTTTCCCCTAATCAACCGTGGAGGAGATTTCGGCCCACATGGTTTTTTTGTGGTCCTTGGACACTGACAGTCGTTTTTACTCAGCCTGAACAACCACCTACTTCCTTTCGTGTATAAGGAACTCTGGATTTCTAATTCAATAAGTGCTATGCAAACTTCAGTTCGCCTGAACTTTATTTCCATCCTGCGCTGCATCGTCAACTCGACGCAAACGGTTTGTACTTATCTCTCTTTTACTTGCAGTTTGGTATACCATGCATAGTGTTCCGCTTTTATTGTCTGAACTCATTATCCTTGTGCTTGGGGGAAACATCGCCGCATGTGAAATTAGGGTTTGCCTTGAAATCCCGGCATTCCTTGGCCTCTCAGTTCACCGCAGTTTATGCTCTCTGTCGCCTGGGCCAAAGTTTCACACAATTCAATGGACCTCAATTGTACCCTACGAAGTTCCCCAGAAGGTTGGACTCCTCACACTCTAATCATTTACATGTCGGCACTGTTATTTATACAGGGGGGAAACAATCGGCCAGTTCTTTTATTTTCCAGTGCATGGATACGGTCGTTGCTGTTGCTGTCAGTAGTTGAATGGCGTGTACTTCCTTTTTGAAATTTCAGACCTAATCAGTACGTCAACTACAGTTTGGGACCTCAAAGGAAAAATGGTAGCTGGTCACATTGTACTGCGCTTGATTCATATCTGGCTATCTGATGAATACATGGGAACGGAGAGCAACCAATTCATGTATACTTTATGGGTTGATGTGGAGGTTGGCATATTCGATTTTCAAGTTAATTCCATGTTACTTATTATGCCAAACTGATACTCATGATATGGTTCTATTCTTTCATAGGAATCTTTAATTGAGGGAGTCACCGACAGAATTGATATGGCTAATATCGAACCACTTCTCGAGGTGGGCCTGCTCTACGTACTGGATGAAGTACCACTAACCGTGGCAAGAAGTACTCAAAGAACTGCAACTGGTAATTTACGCCTTTGCCTTCGGACAGGACTATCATGCAGGAACCTCGATGAAAATCAAATAAAGAAGCGGTTCCCGGTTGATGGATTTAAGAACACAGAATTTGAAGAACTTTACGGGATGGCCTTGGACCCAACGAACTTGGCAGGTAAGGTTTGCCTGCGTGATCAATTTTTCCTCCAAATATTGTTCTGATACTAGGGTCCTTGAACGTTTCCAGATCTCACAGGTCGTGTTTTAGCGATATCAGAACCAGTATACAATAGTGATAGCACTACCTTCATGATGATCCAAATAGAAAACACCAGGTTAATGTTTATAGTCCTTCCTTTTACATTCGAACTTGTGAGAACTACACTAACACTCTCTGCATTCTATCAGGAAGCAAACTGTTGTGATCAATTACACTGCTCCCTACGATGATTTCTACTATTGGGCTGAAGCCGCTGAACTCAAATATCCGGTGGTCGCGACCTTCACGAGCATTTTTGTTGCTCAGCCTGAACCGAGATGTGCGCCTCTTAATCTCTCTATTCGTTGTTATGCCTTTTACACAAATCTGTGCTGAAATACAATTTACCTG